AACTTGTGCTGAGGTGGTTGAGGCTTGCTTCAGTGTTATGATCTAACCTGTTGTGCCACCAGGCATGGCCTTTGTCATTTTTATTACATGTATCGTCCAACTAGAATATAAACCATTAAGAGGATCTAGACTTGGGGCCTCCCTGGACGGGTTAAAGACAAGCTATGGCCAGCCACTGTAACATGAGTTGGTTCCCCATACGGGAAATTAACCTCTCACCCTCCCCCACACCTCTGGCCTATACTCTAGTTCTTATATATGCCTGCCCCAGTTCTTGCATGCATAAAGAAACAAATCTTTTTTTAAAAAAGAGGTTACAGATTTTTATCTATTTGATTTCAGTTGCTTTGCATTTGACTGGCCTGTGTCAGGCACTGAATAGTATTTATGGGATGGCTGTAAGGCTGGATGGGTGAGTGCATGGCTAGATGAACACACAGTCTGTGTGAGGTTTAGAACTGAATAAAGGAGGTATCAGTTCGCATTAGTTTGATTTTCTAGGCTCATTGTCTTAGTACATGCATTTAGCTAATTGCACCCTTTTTATTCCACCCAACAGCAAGAGACAATACTCCTGCCTCAAAGAGACTGGAGAAGAAATTGAATGATCCCAGAGAAACAACCTCCACCTATTAACATTGGGAGTTCCTCAATGAAAGTAGCAACTCATTTCATATTTTCAGTAGAGCCCACTGATTTCCACCTATGCTGAAAACCTTCAATCAGCTTTAACAATTTTAACAATAAATTGCATAAAGTACACAATTTGGTTAACTTTAACTTAAGTAGAAACCCATGGAATCATCACCATATCTAGGTTAATCAATATTTCTTCCAAAGTTCCTTCTAATCCACTTCTTTAACTCCTGAGCTCAGGCAATAATTTAACAGATTTCTTTTATTTTTTAAAGATTTATTTATTTAAGCATACAGAACTGGGGTACAGGTCAGAGGTGCAGGGGCTGTGAGACAAAGTGGGGAGCAGAATAGGCAGATCCATGAACTACACTGCTGAGGGGAGCAGGAGAGGTCTGCCATGTCCTGTGGGTCACCTCCCGGGGCGGGATCGAACTCATGCTGAAGCGGCTTTAGCTTCCTAGTGCTATGCTTTAACCCGCTGCATCACCACAAAGGACCAATAATTGAATTCATTTCTATCATTACAGAGTAGTTTGCACTCACTCAACTTTTACTTTAATGCAATCATACAATGTGTACTTTATTTTCATCTGGTTTCATTCACTCAGCATAAATTATATTGTTATATTAGTAGTATATTTCTTTGCAATTCATGGTGTGGTTGTATCAAAATGTGTCATTTACTTACCAGTGGATGGGTTCCTTTCTAATTTTTAACTATTACACAAATAGAACTACTTGTACATTTGTATACAATAATTACAACATAACTATATGGGGAAGGTAGGAAGAAAGGAAGGATGGGAAGGCTTTATAAGAAAATTAGTTCTTTAACCCCTATTATAGACATTAATTAACACTGTTTTAAATTGTTCAGCCAAGAAATAACTATACAGTCAAATCATTATGCTATATATTTTAAATTTATACAGTGCTTATGTCAATAACACCTCAATAGAAGTGGGAAAAATAACCATATTAGCATATATAATATTAAAAAATAAAGAATTTTATTGTAATACGTGGCATTTTAAAAGTGACTACTTCTGGGAAATAGAACTGAAGTATGAAAATAGAAATCAACTGTTTCTTGATGTTTTGTAATTCTCTTTGACATTTTTAACCAAAAAGAGATATTATTATTATTATTTTTTAAAGATTTATTTATTTATTCATATGGAACTGGGGTACAGGCCAGAGATGTGGAAGGTGAGAGGATTCACCAGAGACAGAGTGGGGAGCAGAACAGGTAGATTGACGAAGCACACTGCTGAGGGGAGCAGTGGGCGGGTCAGGAGAAGTCTGCCATGCCATGTGGATCTCCTCCGGGGCAAGCGGGATTCAAACTCATGCGATAGTGGCTTTAGCTTCTTAGTGCTGTGCTTTAACCCACTGCGCCACCAGGGAGGGCCAGAGATATTATTTTGATAAATAACAGTAATTGTTAAAAGTCAAAGTTTGCCAGAGGGGGAAGCTAATCTGAAATGAATGTGTGCATTATAAATATTGAATTGCTATAAATGTGAGAAATCATTTAACTTAAAAGTGGTAAATGCTATGAGCTCCTAAATAACAGTCATGTAAAACACAAACTGAAATAAACCAGCACAAATATTTAACATTTTAATTATATTTTAATGCTTGGAAATAAAGAAGAATAAAAAAAATACTAGAGACATCTCTGCTATCCAGCAATCCCCTTTTAGGTGTGAATTTTTTTTTAAGATTTTATTTATTTATCTATACAAAATCTGGTGTGTTTTCTAGAAAAACATTACATATGTCCAATTTTTTCTAGAAAAAACATTACATGTGTTAATTTTTTTTAGAAAAAAATTACATGTGTTCAAGAAGACATGCGCAGGAATGGTCACTGATTCATTTTTTGAATTACAGAAGACTGGAGACAACCTAAATATTCCTTGGAATAAATAAATAAAATGTGATGCCTATATATGGAGGATTAAAATTTGATCCCAATATTAAAAGTAAAAACACTTAAAAACATTCAATGAAGAAAAAAAATGTGATGAATAAATGAATAGAATGTTCAGGGATGAAAGGGAATGAATTAGATCTACAATGAATTAAATCTATTCTATATCAAGAATAATTCTGAAAACAATGGGTAAAAAAAGCTAACTACTGGGCTCTCCCTGGTGGCGCAGCGGGTTAAAGCACTGCACTAAGAAGCAAGCACTGCACTGAGAAGCTTAAGCCACTTCCCCATGAGTTCGATACCCGCCTGCCCAGGAGGAGCTCCACATGGCGAGGCAGATCTCTCCTGGCGCGCCCGCTGCTCCCCTCAGCAGTGTACTTCTGTGATCTGCCTGTTCTGCTCCCCACTCTGTCTCTGGTGAATCCTCTCACTCTCCGCATCTCTGGCCTGTACCCCAGTTCTGTATGAATAAGTAAATCTTAAAAAAAAAAAAAAAAGCTAACTACTGAGTGATATCACAGTGTTACTTTTTATGTAAGTAGAAGCAAAAGGGAAGATTTTTCTCTGGCTGCACCTATGTATGTAAAAGTGTTTAAGAGGGGCCCTCCCTGGTGGTGTAATAACCCAACTTAACCCAACGCAGCACTGTGAAGCTCTCTATGAAGCACTATGAAGCCACTACAGCCCCAGTTGGATCCCCATCCAGGGAGCTGACCCACATGGCATGGCAGACCTCTCCTGTGTGGCCCGCTGCTCCCCTCAGCAGTGTACTTCATTGATCTGCCTGTTCTGCTCCCCGCTCTGTCTCTGGTGAATCCTCTCACTTCCCTTCCCCCACAACCCTGTTCTGTACCCCTGTAAATAAATAAATAAATCTTTTTAAAAAAACGTGTTTAAGAAACTGTAGTTGCTATCCACCGAGTGGCAAACAGTGCCTACTGCTTGGACAAAGTGGAAGAAGACCAAGTGGGGAGAGATGGGCGAAGAAGACCAACAGGCAGAGGAGTGGAAGTAAAAAGACACTCAGTTTATTCTGCAATTTTCTCATTTATTTTTCTGTCCTCCTCCCTTTCCCTGTCCGCTTCTCACTTCTAGAAAATGTCTTACATTACAGAGTGAAAAAGTTCTGAAAAGAGAAAAAGCGGTCCAAACAACAAAACAGTAATAAACTTTGAAGACTAAGGGTATTGCAGTCTCTCTTCCTGTAAAACCTTATCCACACCTAACAATTTTCAAGAAAATTACTAGTCATTTCTTTAGAGAAATTTGTACCCCTTATATTGTCAACACTAAGTACCACAAAGATGGATATAGTCAACAGCTACAACCAGCTTGTATAGCCCGCCTGAACGGGCAGATTCTCGTTATTATTTACTGTCTCCTTTTACCTGCTGTGCTGAGGTTCTCACATACAGTATGGTCAAAACTATGTGCTCAAACAAAATAAACACACTCCGTATTGTCGTAGTTACAATTTTAATGTAAAAAAGTCAAGGCTAAAAAAAAGCCGGCTTACAGGAAGTATGAAATTATGACTTCTACAATGAACTGCTAGTTCCCCGCGATGACTTGAACAATAGCCAAGCAGCTGAGGTGATAACCTTGGGCGTTCAGCCAGCCGCTCTCCTAGCACAACTCCAGGAGAAGAAAAACCTCCTTAGTTCAACTGAAAGTATAAAAATCGAACTCTCAGACCCTCAAAAGAGATACCTCGCTTGCCAAAATGTTAACATTTTATTTTGAGAGGGAGCAATAAAATAGCTACTTACTTACAGTGTTTTTCAAATGTCCACTTTGGAAAAAAGGTCAAGTTGGGCCGCTAAAAGTCTAGGATTGCAATTCTACCCCCAACTTTTACAGTAGTGAAGTTACGACTCATCGGTGAAACTGGCGCGGGAAGTTCGAACCTCCTAAACCCTTGCTCATTTTGAATTTTACGGTTCGGAGACTCAGGCGCCGGCAGGTTCGCTGAAGTATTTTGAGCCTCTCGGCTTACCGTCCGCGCAGCCCCGAGAAGTTACCTTAGGCCCCGCCCCCTGCGCGCGGGACGGCGCGAAAACCCAATTGACAAGAACTTCCTCCGAAGCCCGCGGGTCGGATTTGCGTTCGGCTTGCTCTCTGTGCGGGAACCCCAGTCCGGAGCGCACTGCCTGGAGCGCCCACCTCGGCGACACCCCGCGCTCACCGGCCCACCCCAGCGTCTTCACTGCCCGCGCTTTCTCGCCGCCTCTTCCCGCTTTCGACTGGGTTGGGCTGGGCCCAGCCTTCGCGACCGCTTGGGGCGGGTGGGCGCCGGGGACTCAAACACAGACCTGCGGCCCAGCGCCTAGCTCCTGTAGGAGCCGGCCCCTCCATGGCCTCCAGGCAGGCCGGGCCGGACCCCGCCAGGTCCTAGGAGCTGGGATTCTGGGAAGCCGGGAGCATGGTGGGGGTCTTGTCCATGGCGGCGGCAGCTGCTCCCCCACCCGTGGAGGACTACCAGGTTGAGGTGAGGTGAAGTATCTCTATCTGTTGGGAGGTGGGGATGGGTGAAATGTGACCCCGACTTTGCATCCTTGAGGGGGGGAAAGGGACGTGTTGACAATGTGTACAACGATTGCTGGCATATGTCTCTTTAAAGTACTGTGATAGGTCCTGGCAGATGCAGGGATTGTGAGACGGTTGAGGGATCAGGTAAGTCTGGCCTTAAGATACTGTGACCAGTTTCTGGATTCCGAAAAGTTGGTAGAACACAATGTTTTGGATTTCTAAAATGTCATGGAAGATCCCAGGGTCACGTCTTGGTTCGTGATAAGGAACCACGGAACTTTAACGTTGAACAGGGTCTTTTAAGGTCATCCATCAACCTGTTGTGGGAACACCACTTTGTCACTATAGGAATCAAACGAGGTACTTCATTTAATATTTTTTATTATAATAGTTTACTTTTACATCATTTTGTGCCCTTTTTCATCTCAGTTGTAATCCCCTTGGGCTTCCCATCACCAATTCACCCGTTTGCCATCACCATAGTCTTGTGCACCTCCGCTCCCCATTTTTGAACCCATTCCCCACTCCACCCCCGTAAAATGTCTCTGGTATATAGTTGTTTGTTATTATTATTTTTCCCGTTGGTCTTTTATGCCCCTGCTATGAATGAAACCATCCGGTATTTTTCCTTTTCTTTCTGGCTAATTTCACTAAGCATGCTCCCTTCCAGCGCTATCCATGTTGCTGCAAAAGGCATGTGTTTATATTTTTTGATTGCTAAGTGATATTCCATTATGTATATGTGCCACATCTTTTTAATCCAGTCATCTACTTTTGGGCATTTGGCAAACCAGGTACTTTTAAAAGAAGATTAGTTTCTCACTACTCAAGAGCTTACTGTACTGTAGTTAGGAATCCCAGCATGTCATGCTGTTATTCTTATGTGTTCATCAAATTTCACTGAAATGCACGAAGCAGTCATAAAGAAATTCTGATACCATGAAGCAGTGGAGTAGCATCTTAGACAGTTGCTGCCATAAATTTTCACCTTTGATCTCAAACTAGAGTTCTGATTGACATCCACATCGTGGTATCTTTGAAGTAAGGCAAGATATTTGTTTATTTATTTAACTGATCCTCTTTTTTTCTCAGAATGGAGTAACGTTTATCTGTTAGCTAGTAATTGTTACTGTGAATATTGATAACTTTTTGTTAAGTCAGACAGTTGCTAGACTTGTCTTAGTGTGAAGGACTTTTGTACCTGAGCTAACACAGTTCTTGATTTTTATGTGGTCATTTTTTTTTCCTTTTTAAATTTAAATTTCGCTGGCCCAACCACTCCATCACCATCAGCACTCAGTTTTGTGATCAGTTTTAACAATATTTCCATCACAGCTTCTGTTTTTGGTGTGCTGTTTAGATAGCTTATTTCATTAGAATGATGATGCTTACTGTCTAGTTTGGTTAAGGGTAAGATCCTTGTACACCTTGTAACATCAGCCTTTAAAGAGATTTTATTATCTGCAATCCACAGATAAGAGGTTAAAGAGTAAGTAAGTTAAATGTGTTATACAAAGTAAATTACAAAGTTAAAATTTGCTTAATGTTCCTTGTTAGTAGGTGTCTAGGCTAGTACTTGAACTTAGATCTGTACACTGCTGAGGGAGCAGCAGGTGAGACAGGAGAGGTCTGCCATATCATGTGGGTCACCTCCGTGACCAGGGATCAAACTTGCACTGAAGATGCTGTGGCTTGCTTGCAGTTCTGTGTCCTAACCTTTTGCAGCACCAGGGAGGGCCCACTATAGTGGCCTCGAAGCTTTTATTGAAGTATAATATACAGAGAATAAAGCATACAAATTTTAAATGTATAACTCAATGTGACATTGAAATTTGAAGTTTAACTTAAAATTTTTTTAACACAGTAGTCTCCCCTTATCTGTGGAGGATTTGTTCTAAAAACCCTAGTGAATATATGAAAGAAAGTATAGCACTAAACCCTATATATTACTATGCGTTTTCCTTTACATACATACATATGATTAAGTTTAATTTATAAATTAGGCACAGTGATAGATAAACAATAAATAATAAAATAGAACAATTATAACTGTACCTTAAGAAAAGTTATATGAGTATGGCTTCTCAAAATATATAAATGAATAATATTTTTGGACCACAGTAGACCGTGTACAACCAAAACCACTGAAAGTTAAGCCTTGGGAAAGTGAGGAAGGGGTGACTACTGCATTTAATATTGGTCACTTAAAGGACCCTTCTTTTTTTTCCAATCAATTTACATACAGTATTTTTTTTAATTTTTATTCCCCTTTTTTTTATTTTACAACAGTTTATTTTTACATCATTTTGTACATTTTTTTTTCCATCTCAATTGTAATCCCCGTGGGTTTCCCATCACCAAGTCACCCGTGTACCATCACCATAATCCCGAGCACGTCCCTCCCCACCTCAAGCCCCCCGCCGTTTTTGATCCCATTCCCCACGCCACCCCCGCAAAATGTCTCTGGTATATGGTTGTTCATTATTTTTGTTATTTTCTCGCCTGGTCCATTATACTCCTGCTATGAGTGAAACCATCCGGTATTTTTCTTTCTCTTTCTGGCTTATCTCACTGAGCATGATCTTTTCCAGCTCCATCCAAGTTGCTGCAAAAGACATGTGTTTCTCTTTTTTGGTTGCTGAGTAATATTCCATTGCATATATGTGCCACATCTTTTTAATCCAGTCATCTACTTTTGGGCTTCCATGTTTTTCCAATTGTAAATAAAGCAGCAAGGTATCTTTTTCAATCAGTGCTTTTGTGTCTTTTGGGTAGATACCTAGGAGTGGGATTGCTGGATCGTAGGGAAGCTCCATGTTTAGCAGTTTGAAGAACCTCCAAACAGTTTTCCATAGTGGTTGTACTAGTTGTCATTCCCACCAGCAGTGCAGGAGAGTTCCTTTTTCTCCACATCCTCAACAACATTTGTTGTTGCTAGTTGTTTGAAGATGTGCAGTTCTCACTGGGGTGAGGTGGTATCTCATTGTGGTTTTAATTTGCATCTCCCTTATTACGAGTGACGTTGAACATTTTTTCATATGTTTGTGGGCCATCTGTATTTCCTCTTTGGAGAATTGTCTTTTTAGCTCTTCTGCCCACTTTTTGATGGGGTTGTTTACTTTATTTTTGTTGAGTTTCCTTAGCTCTCTGTATATTTTTGTGATCAGTCCTTTATCACTACTTTTGTGTGAGAAAATGTTTTCCCAATTAGTGGGCTATCTGTTTTTTGTAATGTCTCTTTTGCCGTACAGAAGCTCTTTAACTTGATATAGTCCCATCTATTTATCTTTGCCTTCACTATTGTGGTGTTCGGTGCTCTGTCTTTAAGGATGTCACTGAAGTGTATGTTGTGTAGTGTTTGACCCATCTTTGCTTCTAGGTATTTTATGGTTTCCGTTCTTATGTCTAGGTCTTTAATCCACTTCAAGTTGATTTTTGTGACTGGAGTGAGGCGTGATCTAGTTTCATTTTTTTGCATGTAGCTTCCCAGTTTTCCCAGCACCACTTGCTAAACAGATTTTCTTTGTTCCATTGTACCTTCTTTGCTCCTTTGTCAAAAATTAGGTGTCCATAAACTTGTGGGTTTATATCTGGGTTTTCTATTCGAATCCACTGGTCTACATACAGTATTTTTATTTAATAGTGATGTTTCATTTTGCTTGAAGTGCCTTTTTTTTTTAAATTGACAGGTATGCAAAAAGAGGAGGAAAGATGATGACAGATCTTCCTGTAAAACAATTACAAAATATTTATCACCTGTAGCGAAGACTGGGGACAGGGTTTTTTCGCCACCAAAATCCAGTAATATTCTGAGTTATTTTAGAAAGACTTCTCCCACAGATGAGAAGACTCGGTCAGCAAGAGAGTGCAAGACAAAATCATCTGCACCATTGCCTGCTGACAGTGGCAAAGACTGTAAAACATCTTTGGAACTGTTTTCAAGTGTGGATCTTAAGAAGACAAGAAAGAGAGTTAATTTATCTCATCGACTAAATAATATTAAGACTGAAAGTGATTCTATAATTGAAATTAGTAGTGATGATAGCAAAGAAGATTCTAGTTTAAATAGTGATTTTATGGAAAGTAGTACTTCTCTTTTACTTAACAAAAAACATGTAGAGTTACTTGCAGAAAGTGTTCAAGATATCAAAAACCAATCAAGCTCTGTAACCTCCAAAAAATGTTCTAAGAAAGGAAATACTAGACAAGGAGCCACAAAAAGTGATTGCAAAAATTTGAGAAAAAGAAAGCACAGAGATGTAATAGATCTATCTGAAAGTTTGCCTGTGGCAGAGGAACTTAATTTTAAAAAAGATGGCCAAGATAAACAGATGCCTTCCCTAACTCATGAAAGGGAGAGTACTGCAAATGATGAAAACTCTAAAGATAATATAACAAAGGCTTCCCAGTTAAAAGATGGCACAGTAACTGTCTCATACGAGGACTTTTTAAAAAGTCACAAGGAAAATAAAATGGAACAGAAAGCAGATTCTACAATGTCACTTTGTATTCCTTCTGAAACTGTTGAAGATACAGTCAAAAGTGGTTATATAAATGATACAGAGACCTGTGAACTTTCCCAACAGGTACGCTTTAAGACAGTTACTGTTCTTGCACAGGTTCACCCTATCCCCCCAAAAAAGGTAGGGCGAATACCCTCAATTTTCTTGAAACAAAAGCAGTTGGAAATGGAAAATAGTCTGTCTGATCCTGAGAATGAACAGACAGTTCAGAAGAGAAAATCTAACGTCGTTATACAGGAGGAAGAATTAGAATTGGCAGTGTTGGAAGCTGGAACTTCTGAAGCTGTAAAACCAAAATGTACTCTAGAAGAAAGGCAACAGTTTATGAAAGCATTTAGACAGCCAGTGTCAGATCCAGTTAAAATTGGAGCAAAAAAATCTTCTGATAAGCAGAAAGAGCTCATTGAGAAATCCTTAAATGAGGAAGAAAGAGAAGATCCTAAAAACATTATAGAAAATTCTAATATCACAATGATTTCAAATGATGGCAATTCACAGTCACACAGTGATAAAGGAATATTTCCTAAGAAGAGAAGTAAAAAGATGAAGGAAAAGGACAAGAAACTATTAGATACTGCTGTTACTTCAAGTAAAAATAGAGGGGGAAAGACTCAAAAGAAAGAAGCAATTCTTTCCCTTAAAGGTAAACAAAATCAAAATAAGCTTAGGATGACTTTAAGGCAAAAGAAAACAGAAGTTTTAAAAAACACAATATTTAACAGTGAAAGTGTTATTTGTGAAGATAAAGCAAATGATGGTTCTCTGAAGATTTCCTCTCTGTGTAAGAATAAATCTTCAAGAAAAACCAGCATGCCACTTAAAGATAAAGCTATACAGACTAAAGCTAATGCTGAAGACAATGTGGTAAATGTTTCCACACCCAAATCAACCAGAAGATCTGTAAGAAGTAGCAGCACACCTAGCACAGTAATCATAAGAGGTGCTGATTCAGAAGACACACAAGATGGTTGTCCAGTGAAGGCAGAAAAACATAGCTTATATACAGCGGAACTAATAACAATATCTTCTGATTCAGAGAGCCCTATTAGGTAAAGTTTTGCTTTTGTTCTAAAGTTCTATTCTGTTCATATTACTTGGGAAGGGAAATACTTCAAGCATTGGAAAGTATTTTTCTACAACTGTCAATTTATAAGAAAAAACAGGGTTTCAAAAATGCGTGTTTTCCACCTTTCATTTAAAGTCAGGCATAACTTCAGAAGAGTTTTGGATGTATTTTAGATGAGTATTAAACTAATTCATCACAGTTGCTAATCAGGAAAACTAGCCTTCAAATATGAATTCTGTATTTATCAAATATTAGATTGAAGAATAAATTTTAGAACTTTATATTTTGGGTAAACTGAGCCATATATACTATGTGGTATTTATATTTATGTGTGCTGGTTTTTGCTAATATAAGTGTAATGTTGTGGGCTAATTATCTGTAAAACTTAGATTTCTAAAAGAAAACAATTGATACTTCCTAAAAGCTTAACATTGAGTTTGTCTTACTTCTGGATCAGTTGTGTGATACTAATGGGAGGTGTTTTATTTATTTTTCTACTTTAGTAATGTCCAGAAGTTGGAGTCGTAGTTGGTTCTTTGTTGTATTTAGTTTAAATTTTTATGGTTCAAATCATGAAAATTTTCTGAATATCTTCTTTTTCCCCCAGAATGAAGTTCACCAGGATTAGTACTCCCAAAAAGTCCAAGAAAAATATTAAGAAAAGATCTGAGAAATCTGAATCTGCTGATGGGGATTTCACTTTTCAGACTAGGAAGGTAATTGCTATAATAGATAGTCTAGTAAATAGTTTTCTGTTTTCTAAAACAACACCTACTGTTGCAAGTAATATCCAAAGGGAGATTTTGTTTTTTCATAAATTGGTTGTATTATCAGTGTAACCCTATATTATTTTTCACTATTATTCCTTTAGTTTATTAAGATGTCAAGGCATAGTTTATTGTGAGATGAAAGCAATTAATAAAGAATTATAAAGTAAATTACCAGAACAATTTACCTAGAAAAGCCTACTTAGTTACTTTCTAGGATTTTTATATGGCAACTTAGAGATTATAATTTTTTCGTTACAGATTTTTTTTTAAAGACTTATTTTATTTATGCATACAGAACTGGGGTACAGGCCAGAGGTGCAGGGGTGGTGAGAGGCGTCACCAGAGGGGGGAGCGAGCAGGCAGATTGACGAAGTACACTGCTGAGTGGAGCAGTGGGCAGGCCAGGAGAGGTCTGCCATGCCATGTGGACCACCTCCTGGAACAGGGATCGAACTCATACTGAAGTGGATTTAGCTTCTTAGTGCTGTGTTTTAATCTGCTGCACTACCAGAGAGGGACTTGTTACAGAATTTTTTAATAAAAAATGTATTTATTTATGCATACAAGAACTGGGGTACAGGCTAGAGGTGTGGGGGTGAGAGGATTTACCAAAGCCAGTGTTGGGAGCAGAACTGGCAGATTGACTGAAATACACTGAGGGGAGTAATATGGTGAGATAGGAGAGGTCTACGGTGCCATGTGGGTCACCTCCCTGGCCGGGGATCAACTTTGTGATATAGCAGCCGTGGCTAGCTTCATAGTGCTGTGCTTTAACCTAACATACCACCAGGGAGAGCCCTGCAATTCCCTCTTTTTGACAACCAAAAATGTCACCCAGTATTGCCAAATATCACATAGAAGGGAAAAAATATCATCCTTAGTTGGAAACTGTTATTCTGAAGGAAGTGGTAGTACAATTGCTTTTGTAAAAATAAGTTACTTGTGGGTCCTTCCTGGTGGCACAAGGGATTGGAGCGCAGCACTGCAAAGCTGGCCACAGCCACTTCAGTGCGAGTTTAATCCTGGCCCAGGAGGTGATCCACATGGCACAGCAGACCTCTCTTGTCTTGCTGACTGTTCCCCTCAGCAGTGTACTTTGTCAATCTGCCTGTTCTGCTCCCACTCTGTCTCTTATGAACCCTCTGACTACCCCTGCACCTCTGGCCTATACCCCAATTCTTATGCATAAATAAATAAATCTTAAAAAAATAAAGCTATTTGTTCTTATAGAGAATTGATTCTCGCCAATGTAAGTAGGTATAGGTATGTGAGGTTCTTTTCTTTAAAGGTTTATTTTTATTTATGCATATAAGAACTGGAGTATAAACCGGGGTAGGGGGTTCTCCCTGGTGGTGCAACAGGTTGGGACGCTACTGCAGGCTGGCCACAGCCGCTTCAGTGCACGTTCAATCCCAGGCCCTGGAGGTGATCTACATAGCATGACAGACCTTTCCTGACCTGCCCGCTGCTCCCCTCAGCAGTGTACTTTGTCGATCTGCCTGTTCTGCTCCCCACTCTGTCTCTGGTGAATCCTCTCACCGCCCCTGCACCCTCTGGCCTATATCCTAGTTCTGTATGCTTAGATAAATAAATCTAAACTGGAGTAGGATGATTGTGAGAGGGTTTACCAGAGACAGAGTGGGGAACAGAACAGGAAGATCTACTGAAATATACTGCTGAGGGTAGCAGTGGAAGAGACTGGAAAGGTCTGCTACACCATGTGGGTCAGCTCCCTGATAAAACTTGTGCTGTTGTTGCTGGTGGTAGCTTGGTATCACTGAGACTTTAACCCCTGCACCACAAGGAGGTCCCATTATGGTGAATTTTGAAAAAGTCATCAAGATGATTCTGATACAGTCCTTGGTGAAAACAGCTACTGACAGTTAAGGTTGTCTTGTTTTTATTTAATTGCTATCTTTTGATAGTTTGAAAGTCTCTGAGATGAAGGTTATCCCATATATTTTATTTATTTGTTACTATTTTTTGTTGTTGTTAAAGATTTATTTATACATACAGAACTGGGGTACAGGCCAGAGGTGCACAGCAGGTAAAAGGACTCATCAGAGTCAGAGTGGGAAGCAAACAGGCAGGTTGATGAAGCATACTGTAGAGGGGAGCGGCGGGTGAGATAGGAGCGATCTGCTCTGCACCATGTGGATCACCTCCAGGGCAGAAATCAAATTCCCAGCTTCGCAGTGCTGCGCTCCTATCCCTAGCACCACCAGAGAGGGCCCTATTTTAGTTATTTATTTAAAATATTTATTTATGCATACAGAAATGGGGTACAGGCCAGAGGTACAGGGGCAGTGAGAGGAATCACCAGATACAGAGTGGGGAGCAGAACAGGCATACTGGCAAAGTACACGGCTGAGGGGAGCAACGGGTGAGACAGCAGAGGTCTGCTGTGCCATGTGGATCACCTCTGGGGCAGGGATCGAACCTTCACTGAAGCAGCCATGGCTTATCTTCGCAGTGCAGTGCTCCAGCCCACCAGAGAGGGCCTATACCATATATCTTATTCTACTTAGTTTAACTTTAGAGAATAACCAACTTTTCCCCCCCAGCTGTACCTTGCCTGGTATGGGCCATGTACTGTGTAGCATTATCACTCAGTAATCAATTTTACAGCAAGATAAAACAAATGTAACCAAATTGGAGGCCTTACCTAAATTTTTTTCCATCAGTTATTTTATTACATACCATTGATCTGTCAATGAACCTCTTACTACAAAAGCCATTGTGTTTTGATAACTTATCCAGGCTTGCTTATTAGTTCTAGGTCTGTTATAGATTGTCCCTGTTTTTATGAGAATGAGGGTAAAACCGCATATATATATTTTTTTAAAGATTTATTTATTTGTTCATACAGAACTGGGGTACAGGCCAGAGGTTCAGGGGCGGCGAGAGGCTTCACCAGAGACAGAGTGGGAAGCAGAACAGGCAGATCGACAAAGTACACTGCTTAGGGGAGCAGCGGGCGGGTCAGGAGAGATCTGCCGCGCCATGTGGTCACCTCCAGGACAGGCAGGAATTGAACTCATGCGGGAGTGGCTTTAGCTTCTCAGTGCTGTGCTTTAACCCTCTGCGCCACCAGGGAGGGCCAAAACCGCATATTTTTAACAGCTCTTGGAACAGAGAAGTGTACTGGAATTACTTTCAGAATAGCTTTAATTTCTTTTTTTCATGCAATGAATAGTTACTAAATACATGACTTCATGCTAGGCTTTGGAGATAGAGCTCAAACAAGATGCGTATAAACTCAACTCAGATTAGGTAGTTTAGGTAAATAAATAAGCAATTGAAAATATGTTATAAGAGTTGTAATAAAGTAAGTAGTGAGTGTCTGGGAGTACATGCTGTACTCAGCTTCTCAGAAGTGATAAAATAGGGACCTAAAATGTTCGAGATTGTTTTCTAAGCATACGACACAGTGTGTGTAAAGATCTTGAAATAAAGAGATAAGAAATAAGGGAGCCTCCCTGGTGGGAGATGGGGTTAATTCTCAGCTCTAGCATGAGCTTGATCCTCAGACAGGGAGGTGATCCACATGGCTCAGCAGACCTCTCCTGTCTTGCCCACTGCTCCTCTCAACAGTGTATTTCAGTCAAACTGCCTGTTCTACTCCCCATTTTATCTCTAGTGAATCTTCCCAACATCCCCCTCCTGCACCTTTGGCCTGTACCCCAGTTTTTGTACATATAAATAAGTAAATACAATAAATCCTTAAAAAAGGAAAGATAAGGAGTTAAATGTAGTTTATTAAAGAATTTAGATTTTAATATAAACCATTTTAAATAGGAGGAATAATAACCAGATTCGAGTTTTGGAACTATTATTGTGAAAGCACTGAGAAAAATAGATTAAAGTGGGCAGATTTGGAGATGTGATTGTGTTCTTAATGAAGGTGGTGAAAAGTGGAGAGGTGATTTTGGACATAAAACTGAGAAGACTTGATGAAGATCTGAATGTGGGAGAAAGGCAGAAGTCAAGCTTGATACCCAGGTTTCGGACTTGGACTTTGAGCAGATGGTGCTGCTTATCAAGAATTCTAGGTGTGGGAATAAAGATGAGGAATTTGGTTTTGGAAGAAATGGATTCGAGGTAACTCTGGGGCATCTAAAAGAATATCTATTTCTAGTAGTTGGGGCCATGGTCCTAAATCTTTGCAGAGATTTGAGTAAGAGAGAAAGCTGAAGGAATCATGAGCATATTTATGACAACTAAAGCTATGAGAATGAGTGAGATGGTGCATGAACAGTGGTTTTTTGTTTGTTTTTTTAAAAGATTTATTTATTTACTTATACAAAAACTGGGATACAGGCCAGAGGTGTATGGGAGGTGAGAGGATTTACTAGAGACAAGAGTGAGGAGCAGAGCAGGCAGATTGTCTGAAATACACTGCTGAGGGGAGCAGCGGGTGAGAGAGGAGAGGTCTGCCCGACCATGTTGGTCACCTCCCTGGCTGGGATGGAACTCATGCTGTAGTGGCTGCAAATAGCTTCAGAGTGCTTCACTTTATCCTGTCACACCACCAGGAAGGGACAGAAAAAATATATTTAGTGAAAATGAAGGTATTCAAAGACAATCTTGGGGGAAACTTCACAGTCTAAGGAATGAGCAGAAAAGGACACAGGAAGGTGCCTGAACTGGTAAAACAACTTGGAGAATTTCATGGCGAGAGCAATCAGTGTTGCCTGACGCTACAGTTATGAAGTTTGAGTTGATGTGTGCTTTGATTTTTAGCTCTCTTGGTAATAGCATTCAGTTGAGTAGTGATTGCATAGGTAAGATTGTTTGCCTATGTTTAGACAAGAGGGGAAACCCAGACAAGATGGATTTTTTTCAGATAGTTATGGCAAAAGAAAGTGAGAATATATTTTTTTCAAATATTGTATTTTTTTATATTTGTTTATAAACAAATTGAGAAGATTACCAGAGACAGAGTGGGAGTAGAACTGGAAGACTGCTGAGGAGAGTAGAGGGTGAGACAGGAAAGGTCTGCTATGCCATATGTGTCAGCTCCCTGAAGCATGCTACAGTGGCTGAGAATAGCTTCATAGGGCTGAAACTTAATGATTTGCACCACCAGGGAGGCCCGAGAATATATTTTTTAAAAGATTTATTTATTTATAGATTATAAAACGGGGGTACAGGCCAGAGGCACAGGGGTGGTAAGAGGATTCACCAGAGACAGGGTGGGGAGCAGAACAGGCAGATTAATGAAGCACCTGTGGCTCCCTTAGCAGTGCTGAGCTTTAGCCTGCTGCACCACCAAGGAGGACCCCGTAAATATTTTTAAGATGGTTAAGTGATGTGTAGTGTAGTCTAGGCTGGAGTCAACTAAGTACACTGTTGAGGGGAATGGGTGGGTCAGGAGAGGTCTGCTGCGCCATGTGGGTCATCTCTGGGCCTGGGGATTGAACTTGCACTGAAGTGTCTGCGACTAGCTTGCAGTGCTGCATCCTAACCCATTGTGCCACCAGGGAGGGCCCAGGACATATCATTTGTAAAGCTTGCTGTGTATGTGTTTTTAAACTAAACATAAAACCTCAAAATATGTAAAACACTTGTTCTAGGATACTTAAATCTACAAGATGACTTAGTAGATCAGTGAGAAAACCAGACCTCGATCAAACTTTACTCTTACATAGTGTTCTTTTCCATATCTTATGCCTTTCAACTTCTCTCTAAAGGACTCAGACAGATTGATCTATATATTTGTTGCTGTTGTTAAATAGGTTTTATTTTTAGAGCAGTTTGAGGTTCACAGCAAAATGAGAGATTTCCCACATACCTTGCCACACATGCTTCCCCCATATCCAATGCCAGATTATTTTTGTTATTTCCAAATGGATGAAGTTACATGGCTGCATAATTATCACCCAGAGTTCCTAGTTTAGGGTTTACTCTTGTGTTACATATTCCTGGGCTTGGGCACGTTTAAATGACATGTATCTACCACTATAGTATCTTACAGAGTAGTCTCACTGTCTTAAAAATCCCCCTGTACTCTGTATACTCATCCTTATCCTCATCCTTATCCTCGTCCATTAGCCTCTGGCACCTGCTCATCTTTTTTTTTTTTTTTGTATCTGCAGTTTATTTTCTTCAGTATTTGGTGTAGCAAAGTGTAAATATTTTATCAAACATTTTAATGTTAATAAAATAGCAGTTTGATTCAGAAGCAGCTTTTTTTTTGAAATTTCACAAAATAAATGAAACTATCAAACATCATTTACCCTTTGTTTTGATCTTTTTATAATCCCCATAGTGCTGCTTTTTCTAGTTTTTCTCTGTTATTAAACATAAATGTTGACCTGTGATCTAAGTATTTCAAATTTTTGTTTAGGCAAGCACTGCTTCAAAAAATGTATCAAAAGCAAAACAGTTGATTGAGAAAGCAAAAGCTATACATATTAGTAGGTCAAAAGCTACTGAAGAAACCGCAACACCTTTAAGGCGTTCATCGAGACATCAGCTGCTTCCTGAAAAGAAGAAATTGTCGGAAACAGAAGTAAGTATTTCAGATATTAACCTGACTTATTCTGCTGTATGGAATAAGAGAAGGAAACCATTATAAAGTCATTTGGTAGAATTATAATTGTGGTGGCAGAAACAATACTATTTTTACTTCCTCTCTAAAAGCTTTTGATCCTCTTGCCTCCAGAATAGAGTCTGGATGAAGTCAGGATCTTTCATGGGCTGAATTATCTCTTCTCCTTCTTCAAAATAACACCTTCCTCATAAATGTAGTTTTTGCTAGTCACAAAAAAAGTCATTTCTGCTTAAGTGGTGCAATTTTTACGTTTTTCAGTTTGCAGTCTCAGCTTGAACTGTGTATTCCAAGTACTCTTTCTTGTCTGGCAAATTCCTATGAACTCTTAGATCCTGGTAAAGGTCATTACTTCCTCTGCCCCACCCCAAGCAGCCTTATAGAAACACAATTCATATACAAAATTCATACCTTTTGAAGTTTATAATTCAGTTACTTTTAGTAATTCACAGAGTATTAGAATATTTCATTAATGCAGGAAAAATTCTGAATTTACCTTAGATATCTCTTCCTTATCTCTTTTCCCCTAGTCTAGTAATTTACTTTGTGACTTTTGATTTGCTTATTCTGTATGGGTTCCTATGAGCTGGCTACTGGCTGGCTATTTGCTGTGACTTGTTTGCTTTCTCCAAATCACTGCAGAGAATTCCTTGACTCCCTACAGAGTATAGCTGGTATCACCAGGCCTGCCTGGGGACGTCTGGGCCACTGTTGACTGATTACAGGATAACTCTGCCTTTGATAACTTTGCTGATATAAATGGCTCTTAATGTATGGTCATAAAGTCTCCTTCCCTGTCCCTCATAAAATTTTGTCCCCCATTCCTGTCCTATCCTTCAGACTTTATTCCTCATACCATTGTCACATGATCAGCTTTTACTAGCCTGAATGCTTTCAATAAACAGCACAATAACTTCTGCTCAAGGAGTAGAGTCTTGCCTTTCTAACCTGCTCCACAACTGCTATTTCCCTTGGCAATGAAGTTCCTGTTGCAGCAATTCTGAACTTTAAGTATAGATAGCGTCATATAATATGTAATATTTTATGTCTAGGTTATTTCACTAACCATAATGTTTTCAAGGTTCATCCATGTTGTAGCATCACTATTTCACTTATTTTCGTTGCCAAAAAATACCCCATTGTGTGGACATAGCACAGTTTATTTTCCCACTCATCAGCTGATGGACATTTAGGCTTCCACCTTTTGGCTCTAATGAATAATACTATGACTATTCCATTGCCTCCTCTTGAAAGTTTTACTGATAACTTCAAGCAAATAGTTTCCTTCTATACGTGTACTTTATTTTCATGTGTATGTGTTTTAGCCAACATTGTTATTATTGTACTGTGTTATAACTAGTTAAATTGTGTATTTATGGACCAGCCCTCTTTCTGTCATGTAAAGTTTGCTGTAACCTTGAAGCCAACTCTTGAGTTTCATTTGTCTGTGTGTCTCCAGGGCCTGCTATCAGTATATTGCCTGACACAGAGTTAGTGCTTAATAAATGTTTGCTGACCATGTGAAAACATCAGACTTCATCTAATACATTTCTAGGATCTATAGTTATAAAAAAGTATAGCTTGAGCTGGAAAAGATCATGCTTAGTGAAATAAGCCAGAAAGAAAAGGAAAAATACTGGATGGTTTCACTCACAGCAGGAATATAATGGACCAGGCGAGAAAATAACAATAATAATGAACAGAAGACATTTTATGGGGTGGAGTGGGGAATGGGATCAAAAAAGTATAGCTCAAATTTTTATAACTTGGTTATATTGATTCTTTTATCTGAGAAAGTCTTTTAGTTGCTTCTTTGAAAAAAAAGAAAGCACATAGTCGTAGTAAATCCATTCTTTGAATTCCTGTGCTGTATGATTTGAACATAGACTATTGCCATATCATATGCCATTCATAGCCATCGTCATTTATGTCCATTGTTTTCTCTTTTAATCAGTGTCTGATGAGGATATGTCTGTAGTTGTTAATGTTAATTTCCTTATCTGGCACTATAATCCTCTTGATAATTTAATGATAATGATAATAATTATATGACATTAAATTTTTTTCTTATTCTTCTTTAGGACTCTGTAATAATAATAGATTCAAGCCCTCCTTTAAAGCTTCCGGAGAAAAATCAGAAGAAACTTCCATGTCTGAATGATGTACTAGGAAAAAAACTTAAGACTCCTAAAAATGTACCTGGTAATGAGATTTAGTAATATTTTGATGAGTATTAAAATGTTTGGGGGGATTTTTAGTGTTCTGACTGCTCTTATTTTAATTTCATATCTTACAGAATGCAAACTTTTAGTTGTATGATAAATAAGTAAAGTTGTTATGTAATGAAGAGTTTTACAAAGGGTAGCAGTATATTTTAAGTTACATTTCTGTGTATCTATTTAACCTCAGTTAAGGTTCCAAATCTGACTGGTCATCAAAATCATCTGGGTAAATTTTTTAAAAATTTAAATCTTTAGGTCTTTCCTTAGCCATATTGACTTAAGAATTTCCAGAGTTGAGTTGTGGGACTATGTAGTTAAAATAACAAGTTTTCCAGAAGATTCTGAGAGATTCTGGTTAAGAGATCAGATCATCATTGCCATGGCAGCCCATGGTGGCATCCCACCACTGATGGTCTCTGCTGTGTACTCACCATCCAGACAGCTTATGCAGACATTGATCATAGTCTGGCAAGAAGTTTGATAGCTGTAGGACTGGGTGTGGCAATGCTTACATTTGCAGATTGCTGTGCATTTCTGATTTGGAAATCACTAGGACAAATATTCACAGAACCTGCGAAGAAGATTTCAACTCCAAGCCTTTCATCCTACTCTAAAGGAGGATTTCAACAGAAATTGAGTAGGCTAGTCTTACTCTTGCCATCTGCTGGCAAGACCAAGATTAGAACAGCTCATAGGTGAATCATCATTTCTGCATACCCAGATAAAGGTGAATTTCCTTACTTAGCAACCAGTATAAATGAAGCAAAAGACTTTTACTAGAAGCAGTCACCAAACACTGATTGATACTCAAGAACTAATCTGAAAGGGGGAAAAAAGGGTAACTTGGAAAAGAAATGTCTGCAAATGAATCTGTGTCCTCCATACTTTTCATACATTTACTGGCCACAATTATTTATCCCATGATTATGCTATATGCTAGTTAAAGATTAATAATCTCAGTATTATCATTTAAAAAATGAGACTGGGTCATTATATAGAATTAAAGAGTTAATTTTTTTAAGTTTTAAAAGACAGGTAGAATTTTGACAGTACCTACAGGTTATTAGTGGAGGTGATAAACATTGATACTAACTTCAGTATTTATTTTTCTAAGGAAAAATGAAAGTGGCTCCATTATTTCTTTCCAGAAAAACTCAAAAAACATCTGATCCTACCCTTGGTTTAGATGAAAGCAGGTTAGTCCAATACAAATTTTCAAATGTCAAAATGTTTTATGAAATGTACTACATCCTTGACTTGTTATGAGAGTGTATACACCTTTCATGTTGTAGGATTACGCTTTTCCGGGGCCTGTCTAATCTTTCCTTAGAACAAGACTTGGCACAGATACCCATTAGAGTAATGGGAAGCCATGCGCTCGCTGTGCTGCTCTTCTTGATGCCTTACAAAGGAAGCATATTTGTTCTTGATCCTTCATACCACTGGTGATGTTAACGTTGCTGTTAATATCTGCCAGGTTTCTCTACCTTAATTAAGCTCACCCATCCCTTTGAAATTAACTGATATTTTGTTGAAAGTATTCTAAGATAAAGCCAGTATTTTGTTCATCATCCAACCTGCCATTTTTAGCCTTAAGGTTTTTGTCTTCCTCCTGAATTAACCACTCTTGATGGTTGTTGAGTAGCAATTGCAGTCTTTCTTTGTTGGAAGAATTTTATTTATACACACACACACACACATACATACATATCTATTTTACATCATTGTTCATTTTAAAAGTGTTTGCTTTCTGTTCTCAGGTGTAGTCCCCATAGAATTCCCACCACTAATTCACCCTGCCCCATTCCCACAGTGCCCTGTGCTCCTCCATTGCTCCTTCCAATCCCTCCCCACGATCCCCTGCAGGATGTCTCTGCTTTCTAATTGTCTGTGTTGTGTTTTATATTATTATTTTTATTGTGTTGTGTTTTGTATTATTATTTTTTCCCCCTGATGCCTTATTTGGTTCCCCTCTATTCCTCCTATAAGTGAAACCATCCAATAGTTGCAAGAGTTTTTGTAGTCTCTTTTCACTAACCCTTTTTCTCATGGATTCTTATCTTATTTGATAAGTTCTAATCCATTAAATATTATTATTTATTTTATGCTCAAATTGTTTCTTATTTGGCCAGTGCTTTCTGTTTCCTTTAGACATATCCCTGTCATTTATTGAACATTTTTTATTTTCTGGAGAAGGAAGACAATCCAGGGTTAACTTTTACTTGTCCTACCCCTGCTCTGTAATCAAACTTTTTTCCAAGAAAACCACCTTTGAATGAGACAATATTTAGAAACCAACATCTAGGTTGTTTACTCACTGCTTCTAGTCCTTGTGAGCACGTAATACATATGTGTGTATATTTAACATTCGTACCTTGTATCTCGTTCCTCCAGTCTTGCAGTTTCATCTTTTCCTCATTCTTTAAACAGGAAAGGAAAACAGAAATTCTTGTAATTTCTTTTAAATTATAAACCCAAATGTTATTTGTAGAGAATATTACAATTCTCAGTCTGTGAATTCCTACCCTGTGGCAGGGTAGGAAGGATATATAATCTGTGATATAACACCACTATGTTCTTCTCCCCATCTCCCAATATCCTATGTTGCTGTAGCCCCTCGCCTTCCAGTAAATTCAATATTCCTATGATTAGCAATATGATGATAAGCCAGGTAAATAATAATGAGCATCAATAATAATAGTCCTGATGTTATTGTTGTTATATTTTGGAAACAATATTACATTAGGTTTCTTCATATTAACTTACTGAAATATGGCACTGGATTTACTTTCTGGTTATAATATAAATGCCTATTTTTCCCTTAAAAATGGAAAAGACAGGAGGGAAAATAATACCCAGCAATAACATCTGTGGATGTCCTTCAAGTTATTTTTTTCTTATATGTACTTATTTAATCTCTTAACACTGATAGACTTTCAGTGTTAAGAATTTGAGCAGCTAATCTCCCTAGCAGCTGATTAAATTTTTTCAAATTAAATGAAGTTATTTGTTTTATAGCTTATTTTGCCCTTTTTCTCATTTTCTTAAAAGTCAAGAAACAACTGAAAGATCTCAAGATTGTGAAGTTCAGTTTAAAGCAAAGCGTGACTTTTTAATGAGTGGATTGCCAGATTTGTTGAAACGACAAATTGCAAAGAAAGCTGCCGCATTAGATTTGTACAATGCAGTGAGTACCAGTTTCCAGAGAGTTGTTCATGTACAGCAGAAAGATGATGGTAAGCTTATTTTTACTGAGTATTTGCTTTTAAGATGTTACAAGTAATATGAAACTAAGTTGGTTTAAAATTAGGCTTTCAGGTTGGTTTAAGATGATTGTAATGGGAATTCCAAGTAGGTGGTAGGTGTTTGATTCTCTCTCCCTCACCTTGGGACACAATTTTTTGAGAGTGAGTTGTAGGAGCAAGAAAGCACTTCTCAGCCCTTACCTGGTAGGCAAGGGAAGAACAGGCAAGGGTTTGGTACCTCAAGTGGATGTTGTTCTCCAGAGAAACACTGTGTTCTAAAAGAAATCAGCTACTTTCTGAAGTCATATCCTGTGTGTAAACAGATCATCTCTAGGAATTTCTAGGAGGAACTCCATCTGTTCTTGTTCTACCGACTGCTGAGTGTTAAAGGGAAATCTCTTTGCCCTCTCTCCAAAACCACTTTTGCTGTTTAGTGCATATAAGTGTTTTCTGGAATAGGTACCAAGTAGCAGGATTTTGTTGCTCTAGTGCACCCTTACCTCTCATGCCCAGTGCACAAAAGTAAGCTGTTTTCACAAGCCTTTTTGAATGGTGGTATTTGGTTGATGGGAGCAGAACAGGCCAACTGACTAAATACACTGCTGAGGGGAGCAGCAGGCGGGTCAGGAGAGGTCTACCAAGCCATGTGGTCACCTCTGGGGTGGGGGATCGAACTCGCACTGAAGTGGCTATGCCTACCTTGCAGTGTTGCACTTTGTTGCGCCACCAGGGAGGGCCCTGTTCTCTTTTCTTTTGTGTTTCATGCTTTTTAAATTTTGTTCAGACTCTCTTGTGTGGGAACATTCCCAGTTAGTCTTACTGTATACTTTTACTTTTTTTCCCAGCTCTGACACTGGCTCCTGAGTTGATGGAAACTTCATTATTATTTTTTTTACTTTTTTTTTTTAAGATTTATTTATTCATGCATATAGAACTGGGGTACAGGCTATAGGTGCAGGCCATAGGTGAAAGGTTTCACCAGAGTCAAAGTGGGGAGTAGAATAGGCAGATCAACTGAAATATACTGCTGAGTGGAGCAGCGAGCAGGTCAGGAGGTCTGCTGTGCCATGTGCATCTCCTTCCTGGCCTGGACTCAAACTCATGCTGAAGTGATTGTGGCTAACTTTGTAGTGCTGTGCTTTAACCCATTGCACCACTAGGGAGGGGCCTCTTATTATTTTTACTAGTTCAAATTTATATAGCATTTCCTTTCTTTTGTGTGTGTGTGTGTGTGTGTGTGTGTGTAGAAGAACTAGGGTATACGCCAGATGTGCAGCAGGTGACAGGATTCACCAGAGACAGGGTGGTGCAGAGCAGGCAGATTTATTGAAACACACTAGCAAGGGGAGCACTAGGCAAGACAGGAGAGGTCTGTTGCACCATGTGGGTCAACTACCTGGTTAAGGATCAAATACAGTCTGCTGTGGTGGGCCATTCTGGTGATAGCACTGAGAATTAACCCCTAGGCCATCAGGGTGGCCCTATGTAGCATTTTCTAATAATATTTTCAACTATGGAAATTGATTACGCTTTTCTTCCCTGATTTCGATAAACTTCTTTTCACAACAGTATTACTGTAAAATTTTGCATCTATTTGTGGGTGAACAGATGAGACAAGCATGGAGAACTTCTTTCTGGTTAAACCTTAGTAATTATTTGACACTTAGTGTTGTCTGCCATTCTACTGAGCACTTCTTATACACATCTAATTTAATTTCTGTAACAACTCCAGGAGGTCTTCAGATGAAAAATCTAAGGTGATTGCCTATATATAAGTATTTCATCAGTGACAAAATCTGAATTTGAATCCAGCTATGACTTCAGAGTTTAAACTTGAAACCAGACTACCTCTGAAATTTTAACCCTGAGAAACAAGGTTAATTTAAAGTGAAAGAAAGTGCTAATTTTACTTATTTTTAACAGTTGAGGGGGGTGGTAGGTCATTTCTACTACTTGTATTTGTTGGAAGTGTGGATTGTTTATGAATTCATCTGAGTTTTGATACTTTCTCTTAATTATGTAAATATTGTCAAGTTTCATATTTACAACTTGGCATTCAATAAATGGATGTATGTGAGCGTAATTAAGATAATTTTTCTTTTTTTCTTTAGGATGCTGTTTATGGCATCTGAAACCACCCACTTGTACTCTCTTAAATAAATTGAAGGAACTGAATACTAACGTAATAGATCTCTCAAAATATGTTATGGCTCTTGGTGAATTTTCAACACTGAATTCAGATTTAAAAAGTATTAATTCTGTTGTTGTGGTAAGTGTTAGAGAACTCATCAGTAGAAGGGTGTTTTTTCATGTCTTTCAAAGGGAAAAATTACAAATAGATGGATAGATAGATAGATGTTATTAGAGCCTGAAGTTAAATTTTTTTCCTAGAATATAATTTTTAAAACGTCCCAAGTAAATACACATCTCTTTAAACATTAGAGAACTCATCAGTAGAAGGGTGTTTTTTCATGTCTTTCAAAGGGAAAAATTACAAATAGATGGATAGATCGATAGATGTTATTAGAGCCTGAAGTTAAATTTTTTTCCTAGAGTATAATTTTTAAAACGTCCCAAGTAAATACGCGTCTCTTTAAACATTCCTACAGCTTTAAAAACATTTCAGGAATTAACAATAGCTAATTAAAAAAAAATACTATGTCATATAGCATATTTAGATAATTATAAATCAGCATTAAAATCTGATACACGTGTGAAGTACAATTAGTTGAAAGAAAGAACACTAAAAATGAGAACTGTACCCCTCAAAAGCTATCAAATACAGTTTTGCTGTGAAGATAGATTTGGTGACATTACTTTTTTTTTTTTTTTTTAAGATTTTTACTTATGCATACAACAACTGGGGTATAGGCCAGAAGTTTGGGGGGATAAGAGGATTTACTAGAGATAGAGTAGGGGGCAGAATAGGCAGATCCACTGAAACACACTGGTGAGGGGAACAGCAAGCGAGGCAGGAGAGGTCTGCTGTGCCATATGTGGGTCATCTCCCTGACTGGGGATTGAGCTCAGACTATAGTGGTGGTAGCACTGAGACTTATCCCCTAGGCTGCCAGGGTGGCCCCTTGTGGTAACATTACTCTTAAGGTTATATTTAGTGACTAAAGTTAATCCTGCATTTATATGGGCTTAATATAGATGGAAAGAAGTGTGAAGTGTTGCAATTTATATTAATAAGTAGCACCTGTATTAAGCACTTTATTCTTTACAGCAGTTTATGGGAAGAAGGAGAGATTTGACTGAGGAAGTAAGAAATCTTTTGCTAGAGGAAATTGAGTGGTCAAATCCTGAATTTTCTTTGAAGGAATACTTTCCTTTGATTCTAAAAAAACGAACTGAGCACCAGTTACTTTCTGTGTGTCATCCTAAACAAGGTTAGTGCTAATTATTATCATTTATTTTAACGCTTATGCTTTGAAAATACTAAAACTTAGCCATTGCGTCTTGGGGGTAATTACCACAGAGATAACATTACCTGTAGAAGAATTTTTCCAGTGAAATTAAGCATGGTGCAATGCAGTGTTAGTCCCTGCCAGCTTCTAGAGCTGCCAGCTTAACAACAGTTTATTTTAAAATATTAATAGTTAACTTAAGGAAATAAGTAGATGAGATCATCTGAACGTATTTTCACATTGAAAGTGAGTCCAACAAAATACCCAGATTGTCTCCATTATGCATTATTTGTTTATTGCTTGTTCATTTTATGGTCGAAAGACTATTGGGTATTTTAAGGTGGTGTTAAGGTTATTGGGTATTAAAATTTTTGGTGTTGTTGATTAGTGAGCATATGCATTTCTGTAATTCCCAAAATAGAAAGTCCACAACTAGAGCCAGATGTCAATCAAAAGGAAACCAAAAGGAAACGAGTGGAAACAGTAAATCATAAGCCAAAAAGAAAGAGACCAAATGAGTACTCAGAAAGTCCAAAAAAGACAAATGGGAAACCAGAAGAACTTGACAAAAGAAACAGCTCTAGTGGGACAAAGCTAGATTCTTCCAAAGGTCTATTTTCTAAAACATCCAGGAAGAAACAAACTGCTCCGAGTACAGTATGTAAAGTGGAAACAGAAGTAATCAAAGATTCTGATATTCTGATAATACAGGATGACAAAGAATCTACATCGGAAATACCTTCTGTTTCTGGTAAATCAGATTTTTTACCTTCTGGTCCTACTGCTACTACTTGCTTTCTGTTACTCTTTTAGGGTATGCTCAGTGCAGCCTTTGAACAATGGACTATATAGTTTTAAAATAGATTTCAATATTTATACAGCAAGTGTCTCCTATCATTTTTTTTGAAATTATTTTCATCACCTACTCTACTAAAAGAACTACAGTTCCCTTATCCCCACAAATCCCACTGGGGTTTTGATTTTGCTAATGTTCTGTAGATTAATTTGGAGTAAATTGGCATCATTTTTATATTCAATCTCTCGAATGGGAGTGTATAATCTCTATTTACCCATGTTGACTTAGTAGGATGTTTATATATATCTATTTAGTGGTCAAAGTCTCCACTCAAATTATGCTGCCTTTAGATTACTGTTTTAGACAAGACAAATTTGTTTCTTGAATGGTTATTAAAAATTTAAGTCTACTTTTTTTTTTTAAGATTTATTTATTTATGCATACAGAACTGGGGTACAGGCCAGAGGTGCAGTGGTGGTGAGAGGATTCACTAGAGATAGAATGGGGAGCAGAACAGGCAGATCGATGAAGTACACTGCTGAGGGGAGCAGCAAGCGAGACAGGAAAAGTCTGCTGTACCATGTGGGTCACCCCTGGCGTGGGGGATTGAACTCACAGTGAAGCAGCTGTGGCTAGCTTGCAGTGTTGTGCCCAAACCCCTTGTGCCACCAAGGAGGGCCCTGAGTCTACTTTTGAACTTTACTGTCATGAGATTTATTGTGGCTGGTTTTTAAAGGGAAAGTTTTTGATATGAAGCATTTTAAATATAATGTAAATGTTTAAGAATACATGTTATGTCAAGAACAAATACTTTAATGTGTGTGTGTATACTTTTTTATTTAGATTCTGCAACTGAAGACATGCTGTGGACAGAAAAGTATCAACCTCAGAACTCCAGTGAACTCATAGGCAATGAGCTTGCTATAAAAAAATTACATAGGTTAGTGAAATTTGTAAAGGAATTTAGAAATAGTTTATGAATTTAGTTTTACTATTTTATTTGTACTAAAGTCTAGAAATTATAATTATAAATAGATTATATACTAATATTTAAAAAAAAGACTTGAGTAGATCTTTTTATTTCCTTTTCTACTCCTTAGAAATAACCACTTTAAAAGTTTTCTTGTAAAAATCTTACAGAAAAGCATTTATGCATATATTAAATGCTTTCTTCCTAGCAGATAGGATCCAATTATTACTAATTCAGGTCCATAATCATATGTCTACAATTTCCACATCCAAAAAGTTCTATAAACTGAAAGATTATTAACTTTGTTTATAAAGTTTATTATAACCTTTACCAATCCCACTTAGTAAAATATTATCAAATTTTTAAACTAGAAATATTAAGTGATTATGAATGCCCTGCCTTATATGCCGTTAGGGGTACTACGTTATATTGCCGTATGTGTGCCAAATTACTATTTGACTATCTAAAAAATTCTGAACTTCTCAAACTTACCGGGCCCAAAGGATTTCATATAAGGACCTAGGACCCATAATAAAAATTAACCCTTGAAGCTTGGCACTTTTTAATTCCAGCACTGTGAGAATAAATTCTGTTATCCCATCTCAGAACTGAGGTATGAAGCCTTGAGAGGTTGAGTTATTTATTCATAAAGCTAGGAAGCGATAGAGCTGAACTTTAGACTCAAGCCATCTAACTTCAGAATAAAACTTAATTTTCCTGTTTATACTTAGCATTGTATATACTTAGCATTGTATATCACACATCTTTCATGCCACCACACAATCTACCTCAGTTCTTTACAGTATCCTGTTTTCTTAGATGTAACTCCTGAAACTTCCCTACTGAAGCACTTTTAGGTTTTTCCTTTTGAAGGCTAACTCAGTCAGTGTTATAGTGGTTATCTTTACACATGTAACCTTCTGTATGTGGGCAAAAATTATTTTAAAATATTCATGTTCATGTAAAAAGAGTTTACTGTTGAGTTTATTCAAAAGCACCAGAAAGTACTTAACAACTAATGATATGCCATAACTTTCCCCAATAATCATTTCAGCTTATAGTCTTAAGAGAGACCTATTCTATGGATTAGTAGTAATCCATAGAATAATTAATAATAATTCTATGGATTTTTTTTAACAAATATTTTCTTATGGCAGTTGGTTGAAAGACTGGAAAAAAAGAGCTGAATTGGAAGAAAGACAAAATTTGAAGGGAAAGAGAGAAGAGAAACAGGAAAAACTGGAAGGTATTTTGAGGTTTTTTTTCTATTTCACTGAACATATTTAGAGTTAGATTAGCTAAATTTTTATAAGATGTCTTAATTGGTATTTTATATTTGGATTTTCTAGTTTTTGTAAATTAAATTTCCAGTGTTTATTGGCAAGAAGTTTGTGGGACTTGATCATTAGGTTTTGTGAGGTAAAATTGTTGCTTAAGCAATTCTCATTCTATATGCATTTGAATAATTTTTCAGACTTGTCGGATAGCAAAGATTTTAAAGACAGTTCAGATGATGAAGAGGAGACTCGTCTTTGCAATACTGTTCTCATAACAGGGCCAACAGGAGTGGGGAAAACCGCTGCAGTGTATGCTTGTGCTCAGGAGCTTGGATTTAAGGTTAGTAAGAGCTAAGTGGAGGAATATTAATGTAATACTTACATTAAAAGAAATAATTACAATTATAATGAAAGAAAATATGAACCATTCTACCCCTTTTCTAATGTGTTCTTTCAGATATTTGAAGTGAATGCCTCATCTCAGCGCAGTGGTAGACAAATTCTATCTCAACTGAAGGAAGCTACTCAGTCCCATCAAGTAGACAAGCAAGGTGTAAACTCACAGAAGCCTTGTATTTTTAGTAACTACAACTTAGGCAAGTCACCCAGTAAGTAAATTCTTTTCCTTAAGTCATAACTTTAGAAAAAATTAATTTTTGTAATCAGCACTTTTTATCTTGTCTTTTACATGCACATGCTATTTTAAACACTACTGCTTCACACATTAACCATTTTAAACCTCCACTATTTTAAACATCTCAAGACCATCATGAAATTTTACCCACATATATTTCAATTTGTATCTCTAACTGATAAGGACATTTTAAAAAGCACTGCCACAATACCATAATCAGACGTAAGAAAATTGGCTGTCCTCCTTAATAATATTTAATGGAGTCTGGTTTTAGTTTTCTTTTTCAAATGATTTGTTCAAATCAGGATCCAAACAAGGTCCACAATTCCATTTAAATAATGCCTCTGAAATTTTGTTAATCTCTAACCATTCCCTAACTCATTCTTTTCATATCATTTGTTTATTAAGGAACCTGGTTATCATAGAATTTCCATTTTTGGAATTTTGCTGATTGTGTTTTTTGGTCAACATGTTCTTCTTTCTTGTAAATTGGTAGTTAAATTTGATTCACTTGAGGTCCCATCAGGGGCTATCATACAGACATAGGAGGGACTATGTACCTCCTGTGTTATCATAGCAGGGGACACATAACAGCTGGTTACCCCACTTTGATATTAAAATTGATTGATGAGTTCAGTTGTTTTCACTTTGAAGACATAAAGTTCCCCATCCCTTTCTTATCTAGTGGTATTTTGTAGTTAATGATCTTTATCTAGTAAACTCATTATTTCATTAGGAGTTAAAAAACTGATTTTTGTAATTCATTCAGCCTTCCTGAACTTATTAGTTAGAATTCTAAGAAACACTTTCTCATCAACTATTTTGAAGTAATTTGTATAGGAAAGGTAGAGGAAATGCTTCATTCTTTCCTTTCACATATCAGTTCTTACAGTAGTGTGGCTTAGCAGTCTCCGGAATAGACGAATGAGTTTTTGCATAGTATTCTTTTTTAAGCATTTGTATTTGTATAGATATGTGTGTATGTATACATTTTTGTTTCATTTGTCTTTGATGCTTTTGAGTTTTTATCACTAATTTTAAGCAACTGTATGGTATAGTTTGGGGTTTGTTGAACTTCTTGAATATGTGGGTTTATGCTTTTCATTAGATTTAGGGAACTTTTTTTTTTTTAAGATTTGTTTATTTATGCTTACAAAACTCTGGGGTACAGGTCAGAGGTGTGGTGGGTTAAAGGATTCACCAGAGACAGAGTGGGGAGCAGAACAGGCAGATTGAATAAGTACACTGCTGAGGGGAGCAGTGGGTGGGTCAGAAGAGGTCTGCCATGCCATGTGGGTCAGCTTCCTGGCCAGGGATTAAACTCATGTTGCAGTAGCTTCCAAGAGCTTCATAATGTGGTACTTTAACTGTTGCACCACCAGGGAGAGCCCAGATTTAGGGAACTTTTTTTTTTTTTTTTTAAGATTTATTTATTTGTGCGTACAGGACTGGGGTA